ACTTGCTCAACAGTACTACAGGTGAGAAGAACTTGGTCGTGTAGATCACAACTTGGATGTGAATCAACAGTGTGATGTGACTGCAGAGAAGGCAATTCTGTATTAATAGAAGTATTAATAGAAGTATCACCTCAAAATCCCATGAAGTACTACTTTTCCTCTACTCAGCCCTGGTTAGGCTTCATTGTGAGTCCTCTGTGTGGTTCTGAGCAGATGCAGACAGACTGGAAAGGGTTCAGAGGAATGTAACATGTGAACAGGGGACTGTAAACAAAGCCTTCTGAAGAGACACTGGAGGAACTGGGCACGCTTAGCCTTGAGAAGAAAAGACTGAGGAGAGACATGATAGCACTATTCAAGTGCTTGAAGGATTGTCAGAAGAAGAGGCCCAGGGTCTCTTCTTAATTATCCCGGAATGTAGGACATGGAATATTGTACTCAAGTTGCAAAAAACCAGATTCCAGCTGAACATCAGGGAAAACTTCGAGAATACTGCAATGAAACCACTGGCCTAGGGGGCTCTCCCACCCTGGAGGGGTTCAAAATGCCCTGGACAGCCATTGAACTTGGAGTCCAGCATTGAGCAGGGGTTGCACCTGATGGTCTTATTAGCCCCTTCTAACTGTATGTTCTGTGACTGATGAAAGAGGTCACAGAGACACTGAAGGGAGTCTGACAGAGAGGCTGTTCTCTGAGCATGTTTATTTTTGGCTTGTTTGGGAGTAAACTGACTCCTCATTCTGAGAAAAGTATGTGAAGAGAACTTAGCCATGACTGAAAATTACACCAGGCAGCCCCTCTTTTAGGCATTCAGATTGTGAGCATGAATCCTAGCACTACAGGTGGAAAATACCTTTGGAATGGCACTTGGTTTGCTCTCATTACGTGCCTCATTATCTGTCCTGTCAAAGAAACATCCTGTATTGTTGTGTCCATCGCCTCCCAAGAAAGACAGGTGTGTGCCCCCTTATTTTAGGAGATTGCACTGCTGGACCACCTGACTTCAAAGGCGGAGTTTTCTCTCTTTCCTTAACTCTCCTGGCATTGGCTTTAGCTAGTAAATGAGAGGTAGAAGCAATTACACTGTACACAATTAACCAACTGCAGATCTCCACTCTGGCGTATAATTGTGACTGTCAAACACAATTAGTGTCTGACCAGGTTTGCCTCCCGTAGGAATCAGGGCATGACATAAAAACAGAAAGGAAGTGAAGCAAATTTCTGAAACTTTAGGAAGGTTTTTTTTAATCTACCCATTTTATGTATATCCCTTCTTTGTTCAGTAAAAATTCCTGATTTTTTTTTCTTTGCTGTTAACAGAACTTTTACTTCTGCTGCTCAGTATCAAAATGAATGCAGAGCACCCCTGCCTAGCTGAGGGACAGGATAATTATGGGGCTAGGTGAATATTAGGCTTAGTTGTCCTTAATCTGAAGCTGAGTTGGCAATTTGAGGGGAAGGTGGATGGATTTGATCATGCGTTGGCAGGATGGTGCCCACCAAGACCCCAGTTGTGCCCGTCATCTGTAAGCTTTTCCTTATCTCTCTTATAGACATGGGGAAAAGGGCACTCTGTTGCCAAAAGGCTCGAAGTGAGGAGATCCCCGCCAGCCATCAGGAATCCTTTGAAGTAACAAAATTCTGGATGATGGGTTAGCTTCCCACACTCAGCGTTTTGGTAGGGATTCCTTTGGCAAGAAAATGGCTGGGAGGAGCTACTTCAGGTGAGAATCAGTGTGGAAAAGAGATCCCTCCTTGCTCCCCTCACGGGCATGGAATGGGCACCATAATGAGCTCTAGTCTTTGTTTGGTCAGATTTGGCACAAATGATCCTCTGCCTCTGCTCTAGCCATTTTCCTTCTTGATTCATTGCCCTCCACGCTAGTATACATGAAGGAACCGACTGGGCTCTGCTTAGAAGGAGAACGCACTTGGGTGCTACCATGTCTGCCGCCGGAATCTCCATATCCTGAAGACTGACAGGAGCACCAGCCATGCTAACAGGAAACTCCCCCAGAGTGCTTTGGAATCCATTATAATCCATTAGCTGCTCTTGCAGAGGCGAAAGGCCACTGAGAGTCTAAACCTCAGTAGGAAGTGATCCAAGCCTGAAGATGGGGTAGATGTTAATCCTTCCACTTTTCTGTTTTGTTGCTTTCACTTGCAAATGTACTTGTGCAGGCGTACATTGGCACAAGTGCATTTTACCTAATGTGCATTCACTAATTTACATTTCCAAAAGAATGAAATTGTATAAATCCTCCCCCAGAACTAAGGAAGAACTTGGAAAAAGCTGGTCCACTGTGGAATAGGTTTTGTTCTGCTGTGGAATGCATTTTGTTCAAAAAAGGCTAAGGAAAAGGTTACATCAACCTTAATGATTTAAAGCGCAATCCTGTACTTGTATATTCAGAAGCAGATTCCATTGACTAGCCAAGTAAGTGGGTACTGCAGCCTCAGTTATATTTACAAATGTTTCATTAGAGATTTTAAAAAATGCCATCTAAAAATGTTTAGATTTTTTTTAAACAAAAGCACCAAACTACATACCATACAAGCAGAACTATTGATGTATAAGAAGAGACATGATGACTGATAACTTTGCATGATCTGAGTGCTGCTTGATTAGGCTAACAGCACAATCTTACGCATATTTGCTCTAAGTTCAGTTGGCCTTACTCTCAGTGTGTAGGGTTGCTGGTTCAAATTCATTCTGTGTAGAAGTATAAGAAAAATCCAGAGTTTTATTTCCTGTAACCAGACAACTTTGAAGAGAGTGATTTGGAGCAAGAAAATTTAACCTGTTTGCATCCCTGCACATTCTTTGCTTGAACAGAAAATGGCATCAAACTGCCTGGGTTTGGAGAAATAGAATATGGGAACCTTATTCCTAAAAACTGCAGGTTTTTGGACAGGCCTTTTAGGCATCACGGTAGCTTTGTGCACACGCAGTTTATCCTAGAACACCCCCCCCCCCCCCTGTCCCCATAGGCCTATCATTTCAGTAGATCAATAGTAGTGGGCAAACTGTCCCTTAGGGAAGTTCGTCTGCCATTACTAATTTTTCCCATAGAGGAACCTATTAAGAAGCTTCTAAGGAACCCTGTGGTTCTCCAGGGCACAGCTTTAAAAATATTTTAAAACTCTGTATTTAAAACGTCAGCAGATACAGACATCAGGACAAAGATCCTGTGAAAGACATGCTTCTGTTCTAGAAAGAAGAGGTTTTCTTCCTTTATATAATGCTTTGCATGATAGTCATCCTTTTCAGATTTTATTGTTCAACCATGATTTGATTTTAATTCTGTTAGAGCCTATAATTGTGTTTGAGTTGCTGCCTTTTAAAACAAGAAGATGGAGCTTAAATTGTCATGGAGGCATTGGACAGTGTGTTTAATGTGTCTGTCATTATATGTTAACCTCTGATCTGGAACGCATGGCACCTCTTTTATGCTTGACAACAATTTAAAAGTATATTTCTTGACATCATGTATAAAGGAATGGGGGCGGGGGGAAGGCAAAAGTGAATTAATGATGTTAGCAAATACTGTTGCCATTCCATTTGGAATGCAGCTTTCAAACTTGTAGGCCTGCCACTGACAGCTAGTCAGGCTGTGATCGTACCATGAAGCAAGCAACTCTTTGTATTGAAAAACACACTGTATTGAGCCAAGAATGTGAACACTTGGCTGTCCTTGTTTTGAGCAAACCTGTAGGTTCTGCAGCAGAGTTCCGGAGCAATTTTATGAACTTAAGCACTTCCAAGAGTGCAGAGGAGAATCTCTCATACATAGTCTGGATGAGTTCTGACAACCAGTACATTCTCATCCTAGAGAGACCGAGATGTAAAATGCTGCATGCATGGCTGGGGGCATTGGCAGGAGGGCAAAATAAAATATAGTATGTGCATGCAAGAAAAACTCTTGGATATTTATTTCCAGAAGCATAGTAGAAAGAGGTTGGCTCTGATTTTAGCGGCCATAGTGTGGTGGAAAAATTCATGGATTGCATGGGCCAGGTTTGGTTCCTGGCATCTCTAGGTGGAGATGTTGGCTCCCAAAACTAAGATACTTTTGTTGGCAATCTTAAAGTACAGCAGGTGCTAGTCGGGGAGAGCGGTTCTGTACTCAGTGGAGGCAGCGTCTGAACTTGTACAAAAAAGTCTCTTATATCTAAAAGAAGCTTGCCACCATTGCATGAGTTCAGGTAAACTTGTAAAATTTGGCCTGCTGCTTTTTTGAGGTATTTCTGTCAATCTATCCATATGCAAAATTTTATCCATTCTAATATACTAAGAATACTGAGGGATTTCCAGTGATGTGTATAAATTATTTGTTGAATTTGTGACTATCTGAAGGGCAGATAAATATCATCTGACAGAGTAAAATTTGAGCAAGGAAATCCAGAATAGTCAAGTCAGAATAGATGAGACTGTGTCTGGTGAGTAGGGTCTGGTCAAAGCAGGTAAGTAGATCAGGCATAGTGAGCTGGGTGAAGGCAGAAACCCTCCTCTAAAGGGGAGTTCACAGTTCAGGGATTAACTATGCTAAATAGGAGGGAGGAAAGGCTTCTGGAACTGTTGACCATGTTACTTTTGGATAAATAATGAGGCAGACAATTAGTGCAATCTTTATTGCAGTATTCAGAGATTTGATTTTTCTTAAGAAGCAAACTGGGGAATGTGACTAAAATCTTTTTTCCCTTTCACTTTGGCTTTAAGTGGTCAAATGATTGTCTATAAGAGAGTAATCATTAACTGTTTGTGGTATGGAGAATAGAGACCCATTAAATCATCTATTGGGAAATGCACCAAATTTCACTGATTCTGCCTCTGTCCCTCTCATCTCTGGTGAAGAGATGGTAATGTTACGCTCGTGTCACAGTTGTGGGATGGTTTAAACGTAGTGACAAGGAAGAGGGATGGGTATTACTTTTGTTTAAGAGTTGTCTGGAGCCAGAAGTAACATGTGGAAAAACAGATGTTTATGTTTCTCTTTCAGATAGCAGAAAAGAAAGGAAGGGAAGGCAAAACTGGGTTTGGAGGCCCAGTTATCAGTTCACTGTACCAAGAAGAAACCATCAGGTGAATCTCAGTGATATTTTATGGTTTAATTTTCATCTAGTATTTATTTAGAATATCAACAACCCTGCAATGCCTCTCCACCAGATAATAAATGACAAGAAAGAACTTTCTAGGCCTGTAATTGTTTAAATCAATAGCTGTCTGTATTGCTGCCAGGTACTAATTTTCTTCTACTGTGAAATGTTTGGGGGGTTGTTTCTGTGTTTCAGGCACTATTTAATTTTTAAAATATATCTTAAAATATTAAATATATTGAGCTTATTTTTGAGAAAATATTTGAGTACTGTAAAGGGTTTTACATGGGACTCCACTTTCATAATTTGAATTTAAACGATTTACTATGTTGTATGGCTAAAGCTGCATTTGTTAAATATGCAGCTATGAATAAGCTGCATTGGATATAGTTCAGATTTCCTCTGATCAAACACACATAGGTTTGCACTGCATCCTTTCTTAACAGAAATGCTGCTTAAAGATTATGGCTCAAGATGCTGCTATTAAACATTGCTAGTCAAAGGGAGAAAGATAGCCCATTTTAAAAATCACCATGTAAAAGTAAGGTTACTAATTGAGGTCAGCTTTTGAAATAAAAAGATAAAAGGAAATTAAACTGGAAAAATCTGTGATGATGCAGCATGAAAGTTGTGGTTAAGTAAGGGAAGCCAAGACATGAAAAATTTAGAATTCCTGCATAAATGTTAGTATTGCAAACATACATGGATTGTTTTCCTGCCGGACAACAGTTATCATTTTAAACCACCAGTGTCAAAAGAAATTGGATTTTCTTCCTTGAGAGAGGAGGCAGTACCAGTCTCTTAAAGAGAGGTAGTAAATAGATTCCTTCTGAGGAAACCAAATCTGGATTCTGAAGGCATGAGTGACTACTGGTCAATCGCTATAGGTTTATTTGAGGATGCTGATGCTGTGCTTTCATATTGTATTGTTGTCCTGAGACTTTGTGATAGGACAGTATAAAAAAGCTTTTAATAAATAAAAAATAAACCGCTAGCACCCTTTTTCCTGGAAAAGGTGTTGGAATGGATTGTTGTCAGCCAATCTGAATCACTGTTGGGTGAAATAGATAACTACATCCATTTCAGCTGGGCTTCAAGCTGGGAAACTTGAAATACAGACAAGAAGGCATGGAAGGTATACCTCCATGATCGGTCGTTGCAGTGGCTTCTGATACCTTTGGCCTTTTGGATAGTTTATCTTAGTTAGGTATTGAAAATACAGGGGTACCTCGGCTCACGAACACCTCAGTTCACAACCAGATCGGGTCGCGAACAAAAACTTTTGAAAAATTTTGCCTCAGGTCGCAAACTCTGCATCAGGTGATGATCGTGATCGTGCCCGCCTCCCCCCCGCCCCAAGGTGTGCCTGCGATTGCGCCCATCTCTCCCTGCGATTGTGGTCAAGCTCGTGCAGGGAACACAAGCACGATCGCAGTTGTGCGGGGGGGGGGGAGTAGATGGCTGCACTCAGGGTGGGAGGGGAGATGGCCGCAATCTTTGTTGTTCATTGTCACTTTGTTTCAAATTTTTGTGATTTAAAAAATAGTTACAGAACAGATTAACCTTATTTACATTGAACCTTGTGGGGAAATTTCACTTGGCTCACAACCAGTATGGGTCACGACCAGAGTCCTGGAATGGATTAATTTCGTGAGTCAAGGTACCACTGTACTTCATTGTGGTGGCTCCATTCCAATTTGTATGCCCAATTCCAGGTTATTGTGCTGGTGGATTGTTGCTTTGGTAGTTATACTGAGGGGCTCAATTTTATCTCCCATGCTGTTTAACCTCTGTAAAGATGTGGACAGAGATGACATCAGTGTGCAAATGATGTCCAGTTCTGTTTTTTCCTTCCGTTCCAGATGGGGCTGTAAGTTTTCTGAAACAGTGTCTGAATTTGATAATGAACTGGATAAGAGTCAGTGCTACCAAATGTAATAGCAGTAGAAATTGTCTTGGACAACCAAGAGCTTGCGGAACAAAAACATTAATTTTAATTAAGGCAAAAATTGCCTGTGGACCTCCATATTATTTTAATAATCCCACATGTTTGATTAATTGATTTACATCCCCCTCCCCCCATTAGCCATTGGGTCTCAAGGCAGCTTACATACAGTTAGAATCACAATAAAAATGACAACACAATAAAAACAACAATGCAATAACACTAATATCAATAAAATTAATAATAAACAACTAATAATAGTAATTAAACATATTTTAGTTTACACATCAATAAATTATACACATTTAAAATTTTAATAAATATTTAGTGTTAATAAGCTGATGTTAATATTATTAAATTCCACATTAATCTGTGAATGTTAATAAATTATACATTTTTCTCTCCCTTTCTTTCTTTAAAAAAAGAAAAAAGGAAAGGCCATCTTTAATTTGTTTTTGAAGTATTGTACTAGGACCAAAATCCAATCCTATTACATTTTTTTAGGCAGCTCATTTCCTATACTTTGATATATGGGCTGTTGTTTACAAGGTCATTACTATAAATGGAAGAGATGCAGTATGTGGGCTGCCTTTGGTTCAGAAATCAGAGCTAGTCCAAAATGAGGCAGAGAGGCTATGAACTGGGATCAGCTGACATGGCCATATTATGCTAGTACTTTTCCATCTTCCTCGGTCCCAAATCAAAGTGCTGATATTAGTCATTATATCCCTTAGTGGCTTGGGGCCTTTCACATTAAGGATTGCTCTTTGCACATGTACCTTACAGACACCCTAAAACATGGGTCCTCAAACTACGGCCCGGGGGCCGGATCCAGCCCGCCATGCCCATGCACAGCCCCACACGCACTCACGCCGCTGCCCACCTCGCCCCGCGCCCAGGAGGCAGCGGTTTGCTGGCTCGGAGAAAATGATCACCAAGCGAGCAAGCTGCTGCCTCCTGCGCCCGTCGCCCGTTCCTTGCCTTCCCTCGCTGGGCATGCCTGCCCGTGCCTTGCCTTTCGCGTGCCCCACCCCTGCCTCAGCACATGCGCCCGCACACACCAGCCTCACACCGGCCCGCGCCCAGCACCCCGACTGCCCCCGGTGGAAAAGTGTGAGGACCCCTGCCCTAACATTGCCTTTAGAGGCTTTAGAGCCACCAAATGCAGCGGGTGGCTGCTCAAGAGAGGACCTTTCTGAAGGCTTTATTTTAGCTTTATACTGTGCCTGGTTTTAATTGTAGTTTTTTTTCCTTTTGTGTTTGATTTAACTGCTATTCTTTATAACTTCCCAAAGAACATTGATTATTAGAAAGTATACAGCTATTTAAATACATATGTAAAATATAAATTAGTTGATGAATTCAAGACTTTTTAATTGATTAATCATCAGCCTTTCACTATTTGTTGATGGATCAATTTAAAAACACACACTGCCAAATCTCAGTGCATGTCAGTGACTTTTTAAAGTATGTAAATAGTTTATACTCACCACCTTCCTCTAGCATTTGAGGAAACCTCCTTAGCCTGCTCCTCCACATAAGTGGTGAAGAGCTGAAACTCTGTGTGCCTTTTTCACTGCATCTCAGTTTATAATTTCTTCAAAGGTGTCTTACAAATAACCTCAAGAGGTATTAATAAAATCACAGCAAACCAATATTAGCATACTTAAAAAGTAATCTGAATCCTTCCTACATGGCATTTGATGGTAGACAGGGAGAGGCATTCAAACAAGAGGAGGTCCTACATTACCCACCTCTCCCTTGGAAACATGAGAAGCTGGCAGTTCAACCTCTCGGGGCAACAGAAAGCATAATAATGGGGAAAATGTCAAACGCCAGCAACTTATTATGAAAAAAATATTAATCAGCTTAAAATTTTGAATGGCCCTTCTAAATATCTCAGACTCCTTATTTAGTTGGATACCATTTATATGCTGTGTGGAATCCGGGGAGGATCAATAGATAACCCTTTAAATATAGATCAATATGCTTTTAATGATTTAAGCAAATGGAGATATTGTGAGAAAGAATAGCTGTTGAGGACAGCAATGTGAATAATGAGGTTATATTTGCTGTATATGATCCACAGTTTTGAAATATGTTAATGTTTTAAGAGTCTGCATGAAACTGTTTTAAAATCTTTGTTACAATGCTTCCTTTATTTTCCCAGTTTTAGTATATTTTTATGGAGCTATAAGACAACATTTGAAAAATAATGAGGGAGAAATTGCAGATAATTACAGAACAGTTATTCCTGTTGTGTGTCTCTGAGCTATCAAAGAACTCCTTTTCCATGCCTAGGCCGAAAGCTGGATTTAAATGAGTGGATGGAGAACATTCATTTAGACCAGTCTGGATTTTTGTTGCATTCATATGCTCAATGGTCTTTCTTCAAAGTGCAAGATTTCAAGTCTGGGTAGTAATAGGAGGGGCCAAAAATTGTCTTGAAAGGGGTGGATGGATGAGGCAACTTATTTCTTGAATAGAATCTGTATCTGTATTTTCATAATAGAGAGGTAAGTAAATCCTCTCCCCACCAAACCCACATTTCTTAATCTTGTGCATTTAATGAACTGCAAGGATATGCCCTAAATGGTATGTGGTTACATTCACTTCAAGCTGCCCATCAGTAGCTGAAGAGAAACCCAGATGAAGCTGATCTTAGTAGCTATGGCAAGAGGTCAGTCTGAAAACCTCCAGCTTGAACCACAGTGCCCTTGTCTTGCCGGGTAGCATTTTTTTTTTTTTTGAAAGTGTGCAGTAAAGGTGTCATAACTGGGCGCAAATGTGGTCAGATTAGGTGTTGCCATTTATTACATGGAATCTGTTCCCTGGATAGCAGTTCCAATCCTCAATGGTTCTAGACCTTTATCATCCCGCAGTATGCATTATGTGGATGATTTAATATTTCATGGAATGCTAAATCCCATCTTCTGTTTTCTTACACAAAAGAACAAAATTGTGTATGAAGAATTTATTTTAATAAGGAAATAGCTATAATAGTATCTATTTTGCATTAGAAATTGGGTACAAAGATATGT